AAAAAAATTTCAAATCCAGCTTATCAGAGTAGCTGAGCTGCACGATTATACACAAGGCTAAAATTATTTTCAGGCATATAATGACCTTACACTCAGACCTACTATAGGATAGCAGAAGTCATCTTCTAGCTGAGCACAGCAAAACACGTGCGCTAGTCTAACGGGTGATACATTAACCTGAGACTCCCAGAATAATGTCAGTTCATTGCTTCTTGACAAAATGCCTACAGAGAGATGGAAACTCTAACCTGGCAGCAGACCTTGAGAACGCTGCATTTGTGATTTCTGGTTAAAGGATTCAATCAAGAACAAGGTGCATATAGATGATGTGCTATAAAAGCTTTCCTGCCATGCAGAGATGAGCAAACCATAGAGGATAAGGTTCTTTCTTTTGGCTCTAAATCCAGCCCCCTCTTCCCCCAAAAATTCTTGAACTTGCCTTCCCCTCCAAAACAAGTGGTGAGAGCAGTTCTCAACAGGGTCACACTAAACCCTCAGTTAACTGTGTTGCTGAATGGCAAAGATGAGAGAAAAACAACATATTGGATCCAAACTGGTGCCCAGAGAAGCAGGAGGAGGAAACAAACCAGCATGAGCAGTGAAGAACAGTTCTCCTACAGACAGAGGTCACAAGACATGTTTTCAGACACACAAAACACACATCAGAAACCCCTCACTTGGAAAAAGAGACAGTGCTTCCAAGAGCAGGGTCAGCAGCAGCACCTCACTTACTGTTGCACTGATCGCAGGCGTAAATCCTCCCCTCCAGAGCTTCGGTCTCGGTGAACTTGGCCAACATCTCGGTCAGCATGCACTCTGTCTGGTTAACAGGGACAATCCCCTTCTCAATGGAGTGATAGCGCTCAGGGAATTCCAGGGAGAGATCCCAAAAGGGCTCAACAGTGTTGGATTTGTAGTTGCACGTTATGCAGGTGACCTGGGAGTGAAATGTGAGTTCACAAAGGCAGTTACGTACAGGGGCGCTGGCGGATGGGAACTACATCCACAGTGAAAAGAGCAAGTTTCTGCCCAAAAGGCAGTATCATGGGTATAAAGATGATCTGTGAGACAAGAGAAACCCTGCTTATTCCAGTCTGAAAGCTAAGTCTGTCTTGAGCAAATTAAACTATCTCAATCATTAAAAAAATGGAGGCAACATTGACCTTTATGGGATTTTCTTCCTCAGCTAACCACCATTGCAGATGTACCACCACACCACAGCTGGGTACCAAGCACCTTGGATCTGTTTCCTATGACACATTAGTATTTATCATGCAAACTTTTTTCCACATTTCTCTACTTTTCTTGCATGTTTTAAAGCGTACAACTTCTTTTATGTTTCATCTGATAACTCTAAAAACTATTCATGCATGGAGCACAAAAGGACCAATTTCAGATGCACTTGTTTTGTTACATCATCCCGGAGTATTATAAATAAGAACAGCAGAAAAGTTTTCAGTTAAACTCAGAGGCAGAAAGTGGGAACACGAGTAGGTAATTTTTTCCACATTTCTCTACTTTTCTTGCATGTTTTAAAGCATACAACCCCTTTAATGTTTCATCTGAGAACTCTAAAAAAATATTCATGCATGGAGCACAAAAGGACCAATTTCAGATGCACTTGTTTTGTTACATCATCCCAGAGTATTATAAATAAGAACAGCAGAAAAGTTTTCAATTAAACTCAGAGGCAGAAAGTGGGAACATGAGTAGGTAATAAAACCAGAAATGAGGTCTGTGTTATCATGAGAAACCTTCTAACATTTGAGCTTCAGGCACTGAAGGCAACTTCAAGATGGATTCATAGCTAACCAATAGGGAAGGAAAACTTCTGTGCATAGAGGGGTTTGAAATTCAATACTGTACAGGTACACAAGAGTTACATCAGTAGAATAAATAGCTTGGCACTGAGAAGGACAATATAGATAGCAATGAGAATGCACACCTAGAATACACTTCATGGTCTGATCCTGCAAACCCTCCAGTGTCAAGTTATGTACACGTTTCCTTTTTCTGGAAAGCAAAGGTAGGTGAGGACTTTGAGCACACACTGGGCTCTCAGGGTCTGCCTTGTGAGGAATAAGATACTTCAGCCAAGGGAAGAGCACAGGAGTAAGAGACCAAACACTGTGACAGGCACTTTCAGCTCCTACAGACATACATGAAATCTCAAGATGACTTTCATACGCCTGCAAAAAACCAAACTGCCACAGCAAGCTGTTCAGAGCACAAGATGCCTGCCCTCTCTGTCCTTCAGCATGTTCTTTCTAGCCACAGAAACAAAACTAGGAAGAGACAAAACAAATTACAAAGACACTTAAACACATAGTAAAAAGTTAAAACTAAGGGCTCAAAACTTCTGTGCTTGTGTAGAAGTCAACTACATTTACAACACACAGGACAAGTAATGAAAACACTGATGCCCTGCACAGCAGGATGAGATTCCCACGAGACTCCTTCCCCAGGAGGCACTCCTAAGCAACTCCTCCTACATATCTCGTGGCTCCTCCAGAAACAGAGCCCTTACTCTGTGGTGTGAACAGCTCCAACTGATTCCTGTGCAAAAACCAGTGCAAAAACCAGTGCATACCTGACTAAGCAACTGCCCGTGAAAAATGGTGTTCACCACCTTCAGGACCTGCTTGGTGAGCTTCCTCTGTGAGAAGGGGATGAGGATCCTGCGCTTCGTTCCCTCCGACTCCAGCTCCTGCTGTACTTTATCCAACAACTCACAGAGAAATTCCTGAGCGTCCTGCTGGTCGTAGCCTCGAAACGCCGGGATCAGGCTCCACACGGAGTGCAGCATGGCAAAGGGGGACACCAGGGCCCACTTGCCAGACCACATCACTCTGAAGAGGGTGTGCAATTCGTGACAGAGGGAGATGTGCTTTGAACTTGGTTCCTTGGGCTGTATCAGTTCTAAACTCCTGCTTATTGAGGAGCCACCATTTAAGCCAGCTGGCAAGCTCTGCGTGCCGTAGGATCCCACTTTGTCAGTCTTCCCTGACTCATTAGCAGCAGCCCCATTTGCCAATTTGCCAGGCATCCTAGACTTCCCATTCACAGTTTTGGCTAAGAGTTCTTCTGTTTCACAGAGATCAAGTGTCAAAAAACATTCTCTAAATTTCTGGAGGTGACTTAGCACTTGCAGAATAGAATTCATGTAACATGTGTTTCCCAGGTTCCTCAGACCCGTCACCCCGGGAGTCATCAGAGGCTTACGCCGGATGGAGTAAAACTGTTTGAACCTGCTGCTCTGCATCTGCCTTGAGGTAGGGGAAGCGGCCGCCACCTCCCTGAATTTCCTTGGAATCAAGTTCTCTCTGTGCACGTGTGACAACAGCCTCGCGCTCTTCCTGGGAGGGGTGTTTGCCAGCTCCTCCAGGAGCTGCCTCTTCATCTCCTGCCGCCGCTGCCTGGCTGCCTCCTTCTTTTTCTCCAACTCCTCCATTTGTTTCTTTTGCTTTAATTTCAGCTGGCCTCTAGAGCTCTTATCAAACCAGGTCCGCAGTGCCTTTGCAAGCAAGGCCTGGCGCCTGTGCCAGAGAGCTGTAAGCATCTGAGATTGTCCCTGAGGGCTCCTCTGATGGCTGCACATGTCCTCTCCCAAAGCCATCGATCGCAATGTCCTGCCACTTCGTGTCGACGGGTCATGTTTTTGACTTTTAATTGCTGACAGAGAACTCCTCAGCAATTTCAAATCACCCTCTGGGTTATCATTCAAGACGTAATCTTCACAAAGGTAACAGAAGACGTACAGATCGTTAACCTCCATCGCCAAGGGATGCCTGGTTTCCTCAAAGTGTTTAAGTGCATGCTCCTCGATGTACCTCCCGCAGGCGACGTGGGAGCACTTCAGACAAGCCCAGATGGATTCTGTTGTCTGGCAGTCCACGCAGTGCCACTTCTGGGGGTTCAGGATCGAGTGGTCCTGGGCGAGTCGTAGCCGCCCAACATGTTTGCATCTATCCATGTCTTACAGAAGTCTTCGCTGCTTTGACCTTGGAAGGCAAGAAAACAGAGGAAAGGATCTTAGAGCCACTAGACATATTAAATTATCTCTTTTGCACCAGCTGTAAAGACCTATAAAAATACAGATGTTGTGTCTTGTCAATCCCAACTGCAGTTTTCCTTCAACTGACTCTACATTATTTCTGCACACATCTTTTTTTTAAAGCAGTTTTTAGCACTAGTGAAAGACATTGGATTGACAAGATCTGCAGAATAAAACTGTCTATCTGTCTACTAAGGACGGCCCAGGCAGCTGCCAGCATGCCCCACCCAACCTGAATGGCTCGCTTCCAAGGAGAAAAAGATTAATTCAGTCCACACACACATTTGATCTTTAGCTGCCCCCTTGAAATTGATACATACAAAATGAATTTGGAATTGGAATGCGTGTCATCAGGAACTAGACTGAGGTTACCAACTTCTTGCAGAAGCCACAAAAATACCTGATAATTGTCATAACCAGAGCATTTGCAAGTCTGCAGGCTTTACATTCTACCCTTGCATTCTCTGATTTCCCACAGCCTCCCAGATATTCCAATATTCAAATAAATCAGCAGGGGGAGAAAAAAAAATGAAATGTGTAACATCTTGTTTCAGAGAACGTGAAGGAACATCTGCACGTGTACACGTCTGCGTGAGCAGACATAAACACAAAAAACAACTGATTTGCTAAATTACTACATCACAAAGAGAAACCAAAGCAGGGAAACTAGAAGGTGCAGAAAGCTCTGACTTTGTGTCTTGTGCCCATGGTTTAGAAAAGACCCTCAGCCACACCAAGAGCACAAGTGGAACGGTGTGTGCCAGCGCTGCGGTTTCTCTTGGACGGTGTCTCCCACGCTCTGATCTGAGGGGCAGAGGGCAGGGCATGGGAGGAGCACCCAGCCCTGCTACTCACGGAGTCATGGTGAAACCTCCTCTCCTCCACGAGGCAGCAGCCAGGGCGTGCAGCATCCCCATCTCAGCCACAGGAGTCCTGGTGGTTCTTCCAGAATTTAATTACGACTTAGGTCTTCGTTGTGAGGCAGCGCAGCCTCAAAGCCCTAGAGAGAGAATATTCTTGTGATGCACATAAACAAACTAAGAACACTGGCAGGGCTGCTTTTGAACATGATTAATCTTCTCAGTATAAAGGCCACCGTGGAGAACACACAGGGAAGAGAATATCTGGAAGTCAAAACATGAACGCACCTAAGAACCCGAACACTTCGATGTTAACAAACGTCCTGTGGAAGGGACACTCTGGAATTTCACTGCTCTGCTTTTGGTTTCTGATAAACTATAAATCTGCTGATTGCATGTAGCCTCTTCATTCTGAGTCTTTTGTAGTGGATGACCCAACATATGGCACAGAAAAAAATCTGAGTTGAAAAAAACTGAGCAAAAACATGCACCTCCTGTGATCAGTTCAGTTTTGGCTGTGGCGATAACTTACTGAAAGAAAAGGGGAGGAGATGGGGAAAAAGGGACAAGAAAAAGCTGCCCTGAATTAAATTTCATTTCTAGATCATTTTTCAAACAATAAAAATGAAGTAATGAATAGTTGTCAAGTGTGAGCTGCAACAAAGTAAGAACTACAGAGGAAAGAAAAAAAGAATCTTTTTGCCAAAGGCAGAAGAGAATGTAAAAATTTATCTGTTGCAATAACCCAAGAAAGACTCAATTAACTTGCTTACACATCTACAACTACAGTACTTGAATACAATACAAAGTAGTGATAGGAGGGACAGCAATAACAGGCACAAAGTGGTTACAGATGTCACAGAGAGTGTCAGATCTCACAGGCAGAATAGTTAGTTAAAAAACTCATTTTACAAGGGGCAAAGTTGAACGTAAGGAAGGCTCTGGCATGTGTTCCCAAAGCTCTCAGGCAGGTCCTGAGCAGTATGAGGAAAACCCACCTGACCAGGCTAAGAAAACAGATTTTTAGTGCCCCCCCCCCCCAATTATGTAAATTTCCTTTAATTACTATTTTTTTCCAGTGTCATTGCTGCTAAAGATGGAATCTGTTAAAGAAAAAAAAATAGAAAGAATCAAAGCTCTTCTATTCTTTAACTCTTCTCGACTTCAGATTAAAGCACAAGTGGCCACTTCAGAATTCATCTCCACAGAGGGATTCTGCAGCCTCTGAAGACCCATGCTGGTGGTTAATTTAGAACTGCTCACAAACATCTACACCTCTCCTTTGGGCTGGGCTCATTCATTCCCAAAGCTCAGGACCTGGAAAGGCACTTGAGGAAATCCTACACTAAACAAAGGACTGATTTAGTCTCCCCTTTCCAAGTTGGCAACACTCCTTCCCACCTTCCTCCCTGACCTTTTTCCCCCCCTCTCTTCTTTCTTCTCTATTTTTCTGCTCAGGTCTTAGTATAAAATTGTGGAATAATCCTATCTAGCCTTGGTGAGACCAAGTGGCATAGATTCCAGCTTGAAAGAGTATAGACACTATGGTAACATTGACAGCCTTCATTTACATAAAAGAATACTAATTATGTTGTATCATCAACATCTGTGATTCTGCTCACTGCCATATGCGACAGTGTTGGGAATTTAACCCCTAAGTCTCAGCAGCATACCCGAGATTTGTACCATGAAACAAAAACCAGGCCTTATAAACACAATTTTCTAGAGAGCGATTAAACGGCCGCCAAGCGCAGCCGCTCACCAGCTCTGCGAGGTCTCAGGACATAATATTTTCAAAGAAAGGTGAATTTATCTTCAATTTCCAAGGAAAAAGAAGCAATGCTGATATGTTGCTAGTTTCAGCTGGGTAACAGGCTACAAGGAAATCAATCACACACCAGATACAGTGCATTAAAGAATCATGTTTAACAATGAAGTAGGCTGTCAGTAGATAAATTACAAGCCTTTTGTCAACTGCTTTTTGCTTTTCCTGTGTGGGCCAGCAAGATTTCCTGTTTGAGAAGGAGAATTTAACAAGGTTGGTCAGTTAACAAAGCAGCTTTGTTACACCTTAATTCAGGAATTCTCAGCACAAAAGCATCTTTGATACCGTGCGTGATATTCCCCCTGCCTGTTTCTCTTTAGATTCGATGGATACGCTTGCAAATTTCAACCCTAATACCATACACTGCTCTGCAAGCCAGAAAGAAACGGTGTTTATTTAACCCAAACCACTTAAACGACAGGTCTTTGCAACTTCCTCAAATCAGAGCAGCTTTTCAGCGGGGTGGTTTCAGCTGAGCACGGCCATCGCTCGCCGCAGCGGCTGCTCCTCCACGCGCCGCGCTTCGGGGCTGCTTCTTCACAGTACAGATGCCTGTTCCTGACTCGTGGTTTTGACCCCTTTATGAAAAAAATCGTTAAAACTGGCTTTCTCACGTCATGCAGCATCCAAAGGCAGCTGGAGGTTTGGCCCTGCCACCCCAAGCACAGACTCAGTACGTCACTGACAGACACGCACATGACCGAGAACAAAATTTGTTCCTCTTTTTTTACACAGGTAAACAACTCAACTGCCAGAACCTATGAGTAAGAACAAAAAGAACACACTAACAGAGCTAACAAAGCTGTGATTAAAGGAAAACACAAAGTTGAGTCAAGACCTGTAAACAGTTTCACCAGGGGGAAAACACCTTGCCAGGATTACAGGGCTGGAGCTGTTGAAGATGCAGCGAGAACTGAACACCAAGGTGTGGGGGTGACAAGCCATGAGCAAGAAGAGGGTTTAATGATGAAGAATTAACACCTTACATTTTAAAGTCCTGGAAATAAACCAAACTCCTCTCTGTGTAATGATCAGATTTATTTCTTGCTTTTCCTTTTTTTTTCTCCCCATCAATGTAGATGTCATTTTAAGAAATATAATCTATAAATCTGGCCTTTCTCACCTACTTAGATATTTTCTTTCCAGATAAGGGGTGGAGGAAGGAAAAGAGGGGAGGAGGAACAACTTCATTGCTCTGCATGGAGAAGATGTACCAGAAGAAATGTGGAGCTGCATTGCAATAAAACTAAAGATGAGTTAAAACTGAAATAAAATAATAGGAAATAAAAGGAAAATAAGGACACTAGTTTAGCCAGTAATGTTCTAGAGACAATTTGAAAAATTCTCACCTTGCAAATCACTCCTAGTATTAAAACACTGGGTCACACCCTACTTTCTTCTGTTGCATGGCTCATAATCCTGGAAAAACTTATGGCAAGATCCTACAACAGCTTCAAGAACCAAACACAGCAGAAACAATTTGGCTCTTGACCCGAAAAGAGCGTTAAAATAAAACACATGACTTTATTATGTTCTTTTGTGCCATTGTTACACATTTGGAAACTGATTAAAGACATCTGTACAGATCTGTTGATATTAGCTACTTTCTTTTTCTAAAGAAACATGCACAAAGCAAAAAGAAAAGTTTTGGGATGAGGAAAGGTGCTGGATGTTTAGCCTTGCAAACGTGACCTCTTTCATTTGTCCAAGAGCTGATTCCAGAACAGAGTTTTCAGTACTGACACAAACTCCTTGAGCTGCAGTCTGGAAATCATCTTTAAGGACAGGTGGGAAGCTCAGACTGAACCATTCTTTCATTCATTCCTCCCTCTCCTGGGAGAGGCAAGAAGTGAAACACAGCAGCATTTCACCAGCCCACTGGGAAACGGACCTGCATTAAATAAACCACACTCGCCTTGCCTCTTTTTTTGTTTCCTGCCTTCTAATTTTGTTTTAAAAGACTCCAGGAAAAAAAAATATCCTTTGATATTCTTGGTTTCCATCAAAACTACATATTCTACACAAATACACTGTATTTGATTAAATAGGTTTCAAAATCTTGGATGTAAAGAAACAAGCACCTTCCACTCTCCCTCCCAATAAACCATTTTTCACATGTGACTCCAGAGCAGAGTTCCTAGCCTGCTGCAAATACCCAAATATACAAATAAGGAGAGAGCAGAGAGAATCTCTATCTAAAAATTGCACACAACTAGTCAACGACTTTAGGTCTC